TAAAAAATATATACATTATTAATATTCGTTGTATTTTAGTTTTTCAATTCGCATTTACCATATTTCTACGTATCAATAACTGTTCACACAATCGTGACAACGCGCCCGTTTCAGCTCTAAATCCATCTTCAATCATTTGATCGTATATTTTATACGCCATCTCCCATTCATTATACATCATCAATCCATTAATCACGATAAAATAAGTGTCTTTTGTGGGTTTTATACGCAACTTTAACATCCTGTCAAAATAGGTCATGGCCTTTTTCGGATCCCCAGCATCCATGTATCCAGCAATCATTATATTTAACACGGCGTTGTTTGGTGTCAAATACAGCGTATTATACAAATTTTCAGCGGTATTGATTTTTCCTCGGGCTATTAGACCCTGTATCATATTTGTTAGTACTTGAATGCCGGGGTATAGCCCTTGCTCAATCATTTCTTCGAGCGCTTTTTGAGCGCCATCGAAATCCCGACACCGTATAAGGCCACTAATTAATGCACCATAAGTGACCGCGGTAGGTTGAACGCCAGCAAGAGCAAACAGTGGTATTATACTTTTCGCGCTCTCGACATCACCTATAGCGAAAAATCTTTCGAGAAATGTGGTTAACGTGATTGCGTCCATCGTGTGTTTGGCTTTTCGCATATCTTTTATGACCTCGATTAGCTCCTGCCATCTTTTTGCATACATCAAACCACGAATTAGAGTATTGTATGTGACTATGTTTGGAGGTACGGATCCTTTCTGCATTGCTTTGTACAGATCTAAAGCGGTGTCCGGTAGATTATTCCACAATAGTCCATTGATAATTCGATTATAGCCATGAATATCCATTTGAATTTTCGCTTTAGACATCTGCAAATAAAGTTCAGCCGCTTTCTTAGTTTCTCGACTTCGAAAGTAGCATTCAATAATCGCAGAATATGAGTGTGCATCCGGTTTAATATTATCTTTTAACATACTATTCCATAATTTTTCAACAATCGCGGTATTTCTTCGTCTCGCGAAACCTATAATCACAGAATTATACAAAACTGCACTAGGTTTCTGCCCGGAATTCACCAAATCTTTCCAGATCATCATTGCTTCGTCGAATCGATCAATCATCAAAAACCCTTTAAGGAAAGTAGCGTAAGTAAATTCATTCAATTTAGTCCCGTTTTTAACGAGGTCATCATAAATATTTAATGCTAATTGCCAGTTATTAGCTTTGAATACCCGTGTTAACGTAAAAGAGAACTCTGGTGTGTTGGGCTTAAGTTTAGTGACTGATTCTCTTGTAATGTTTGCGATAAACCTTTTCAAATTTTCCAGTTCTTGCGGGTTCAGATATTTTGAGAGACTAAGATATATCAACTGGTCAATTTGACTCGTGTTGATGTTTTGTTCTTTGATAAATTCGTGGGCGCCTTTCAAATCTTTGCTTTTTACAAATGCTGCAAGTATAACTAGCAAATGAGTCTCTGATAATGGCGTTTGAATTGTTTGGAGTTTATTTCGATAGATATTAATGATCTCTTGGTATTCCATACTTTTCCAAAGTTCTTGCATATGTATCATGTCATTATGTAGCGGATATAAATTTCCTAATAGAATCGAATTAGCAGTCTTTATTAATTCGGGCTCAGGTAGAAACGGTTTCAACTTTTCCAAAAATTCCGGTATCTGTCTGTAACCTATTCTTATTTTATTGGTTCTTAGCAGATTCTTTGCTTCTTGTTGATCTCCTTTCTGAATATATGCAGAAAAACTTTCAAGGATGATTTGATCATAAGATTCCGACAAATTTTGGTTTTGCGTATCAATATTTCGCGATATATGGTCTATGGACGCTGTAGCATTCAACGATCTATTTAAATTATTTGAATCAATATTGTCATTATTATATGCGTTCTCAAGTTTTTCTCCTCGAGGTTCTTTTAGGGCTTCGTTAAGATTTCCCATGTTCTCAAGGTCAAATTCGTCAAGGTTGTTTTTTTCATTACCAGTTTTCACAACATAGTGACGACGAAAAGCAAACACAAAAAACTTGAAAGAATAATTTGAGAAAGAGCCTTGCTTTAAACAGGCTGAACTTAAATGTCGAGCCGTTGAAATTTCTCTTTTATACGTATAAAATGTCACGCTGCCGCTGTTCTTTCGACTCATAAAAGGACGCGTGAATAGCGTGCCATATTGTTTTGGAAATCTTTCTAAATGTAAGACCCATGGACGACAAAAAACCATCCCAAATATTTTTGACTAGCCTGCCAGCTGGATCTTTGGATAAAAAAATTCAATTTTTTAAGACCCGTGTCAGAACTGTGTCAGGCGACCCTTATGGTGTCTAAATCATCTCATTCACTTTAATCGTGGTAGTAGTAGTAACAACGGATTCTTCAAAATCTTATAGTTGGTCATGGAAAAACGCAAGGAAGAACTCGAAAAGAAGCGACAAAAACTCGCGGAACTTCGACGTGCCCGAGAGGAGCGTAAGCATGCTTTGGTAGAACAAAAACAAGATAAACCGGTAATTCGAGTTAAAAAAAAGTATTTCCACAAATTTTATGTATTTAGGTATTGTTGCCACCACAAAAGTTCAAACGCCACCGCTAATTCCCCTCCCCAACAATACCACTACTACTACTGGTCAGGCCCCGGCCGCAGAACGAAGCCGTCGAGACGCAATTGATGATCTAGTGAATCAGTTGCTTCACGATAAAAATAAAAATGAAAAAGAGAAGTCTGAACACCCTGCTACTACGTCACCTGGTGACTCTGATAACGGTTCTGAGAAAGGAGGTAGTGAGAAAGGAAGTAGTACTTTTGCTCCTTCATACGCGCCAAAACCTTCGGTGCTGGGGCAATTGGCTTCCCCTGTTTCGTCTATGCCGCAAAGGTACATCTTTTTCTGGTTTATACGTTTTAACAAGTTTTTAATTGACTTGATGGTTTCATTAAATTTGGGTTTTTCCTTGTGATTCGTTTAAGTCCTGCTATCTCAAGTGCGAGATTCATACCAGATTTTACTCATTTCGAGACTATTATACTTGATATTGCTCCCAAGGTAAAATTTCGAATTCTTGATTTTTGACGAATATATGTTGATCTCCTTTTTCAATTTTTATAGAATAAAGTATTCTACGGAAAAGAAGTTCAAACTACTGCCACATCGTTTGGACCACAGCCGCCTTCCGAAGAAGAAATCTATCAAAAGGTCAAGGCAGAATTCGAAGCCGAAGAAAAGGCCAGAAAAGAGGAGGAAGAAAGAAAACGAAAAGAGGAATTAGAAAAACAGAAAAAGATTCAGCTAGCTAAAGGTTAATTTATTATTTATTCTGTGGATCCTTACAAATTTCGATAAATTTAAATAACTGCAATAATTTATTTAATAGATTTGAATGACAAGGAAAGAGATAAAATTATTCATTCCGTTGAATTTTCCAAATTTATGGACTATTCAACGAAAGTCGCGTTAAGAGCTCTCAATGAAACATATGACATACTCACAAATTATAGTGAAAGTGCAGATATTGACAGGTGAGAATTGTTATATTTTCTGATCTATAATTGCAAATTACTATAATTCAACCCGAACATTTCGTCTGGTATAGTATGGATGAAGATTCGCATGCACGTGTCAAATTAGTGTGTACTTTCTATGATGATAAATGGTCAAAGAATCGATCAGTTACAGATGTCAGCTGGTCACGCAAGGTAAGTTTTACAAAATTGAATTTCGTGTTTTTATTCTATTCTAGTAATTTATGTTTTATTGCTCTCGATCTTAGAATCCGGAACTTAGTGTTGCTTCATACAACAAAAATCCCATGGCAATGAATGAACCAGATGGAATTGTTCTTGTCTGGAATACACATTTACTAGAAAGTCCGGAGTATATTTTTCATTCCCAGGTGAAGCCCGATTCAAATGTTGAACCTGAATTTCTGTCATAATCATCGAAATTTTATCAAATTATTAAATCTTATGTCATGGATCTCTACTCTCCAATAAAAAGTCTGACGTCCTCACCACCACATTCTCTAATTTCAATCCAAACCTCATTATTGGAGGAACATACTCGGGACAAATTGTTCTTTGGGACACCAGAGCAAAATCTCTACCAATATTAAAAACACCGCTTTCTTCCTCAGGACACACTCATCCCGTTTATTCCATGCAAATGGTAGGGACACAGAATGCACATGATCTTGTCAGTGCAAGTACTGATGGATTGATTTGTTCATGGCACCTAGATATGTTGACTCAACCTCAGGTGAGCTATTTGATAATGCAACATCGTATATAGATTCAAAATCAGTTTAAGGAATTTATGGAATTAAGCAATTATTAAATTATTTTGAGTAGGAAACTTTGGAACTCGTGCATCCGACACATACTAAAACAGATGAAGTGTCCGTGACAGCGTTAGGTTTCCCTGATAATGAGACAACAGCTTTTTGGGTTGGAACGGAAGAGGGAAATGTGTATCAAGCAAATCGATTTGATCGAGCTGGAAGGTAAATATATTTCAACTTTTAATATTATTATCTCGAACAATCTAATAAGATTTATTTGAACCTTAAACTTATAGCAAAGCAGGAATTAACCAATATGATTGTTACAAGGGACATTGGGGTCCGGTGACTGGTCTCCAATTCCATCCTCTAGCAGGAAAAATTGATTTTTCGGATCTGTTTTTGACTGCTTCAGTCGATTGGACAGTTAAGTTGTGGAGAGCCAAGGTGAGGAAATCAATTTCTATTATACGAATTCAATAATACTTTAATCATTGAATATTTGTGTACCCCATATATATATATAGTCAATATCGAAACCATCCATCGCAAATACTACCATCAGTCCTTTGTACTCGTTTGAGGGCGCAGATGATTACGTGTATGATGTAAAATGGTCTCCTAATCATCCAGCATTATTTGCGTCTGTTGATGGCACTGGAAAGTTTGCGTTGTGGAACTTGAACTCCGATACTGAGGTGATTACTTTGTTCGTTTTTCCTAAATATATAACTTGAGCATTTATTTTTGTTAATCCCTTGATCTTAGATTCCTATTGTAAGCACACAAGTTGGTGGTAATAGTGGTGGTAGAGCACTTAACAAGATTAACTGGGACAAAGATGGAAGAAGAGTGGCTATTGGTGCTTCGGATGGTCGTGTTCATGTTTATGACATTGGCGAGGTGAGAGATTTATTTTCATACTATGGGATTTATTTATGCTATTGTGACATTAAAATTTCTTTATTATTAATGATCGCAATATAATCATCTCATATTAAATAGCTGAGTCATCCTCGACCCGACGAATCAGCCACATTACAAAAAGTAATATCAGAAATGATTGCCAACACTGAAAGTGACGGTGGTCGCTATGCAGCGAAGGCATAAAAAGATAACATTAAGCAAAGCGTAGATTTTTACATATTTATTTTAACGAACATACAACTCATGTACTACACTATTTTCCTACATTAAACCAACATTAATAGTCATTTTACTTGGACATGTTTAATTTGTCGTGATTAATTTATTCGACAGTAGAATTACCTGACTAATTATTTATTCATATTTTTGGAGGCAATTATGTACAATCTATTATACTAAAATTTGTGTGAATTCTTTATTTCCAATTTTACAATTTATCCCATCTATTATAAATATTTCTTCGCGTATTTCATCTTCATTTGCCGCAGCAGCAGCAACGATTGAATCGCAGAGTGCTGCTGTTGTGTTTCTTGGGGACCACCAGAGAATGCTAGCATGGAAACGTGGAATCTATAATATTGAAAAAAAGAGGATGCATTAAGAAGACGTTAGATAAAGTTTCGCTAATCGTGTTTTATAATAATAATAATAATAATAATAGTACTACTTGCCTTATAAAATCGCTTTTGTTTGAAATCGGCAACTATACAGTTAATTTTGTTGAGCAAAGAATTCAACTATTATACAATTAATCATTACGCGTCTTTCATGATTAACTTGATCGCGGAAATTGGATTAATCAAATCCAATCCAATCCAATCCATATATATATATATATATATAGAAATAGAAAAAATCGTCATTTATTGGCTCCTTACCTCATTATATCCTTTACCGACTTCCAATGCCAAAAACGAACGTGTTTTTTCATCGTTGACAAAGTACTCGATTTTCGCGAATGACAATGAAAACCTTTTAATTTATATTATTTTGTTAGGCTTATAGCCGTACGGAAAACAGGAAAACAGGAAAAAGTTATATTTTTCATATAAATTTTGATTGCTTGGTTAATATTGTCTAATAACCTTTTACTATCTTGAACTGCGCTTCGTATTTTTCCCCAGAAGCTATTGATCTGATGGTACTTTAAGAAAATCGGTCGTGATAGACTTATGTGTAGCAATTTTGTGTCATCATCATCAGTTATTGCTTCGTGAAGAGTATATGAAGGATAGCTCGAAGAAGAAACAAGTGCATCCACTTCATTTTCTTCCGGTAACTTTGACTCAAGAGTTTCCTCCTCGATGTTTCCTTTATCCTCATTTCTTTCAAAACAAGAATAAATTTTAAAATCATGACCTTCTTGAGCGATAATTTTCTGTACCTTATTCTTAATTTTTTGTATTATATTTTCAAAATCTCTATCGATTTTCACTATAAATCATGTCAAATTTCTTATATATTCTTGTAAATAATAGACAGTCACATATGTAAATACCGTCAACGAAAACATGCGTCGCCCAATTTCCTTCGACATGCGAAACAGTTCTTATTCGATCCTCGTGCTTTTTAGTCGTATCGATTTCTTTTTTGTTTACCGTATGTCGTTTTTGACCTACTATTGAGTTACAGGAAACTTCATTAAAAAGTAATTTTATATTAATGCTTAATTTAAAAGGATAAATATTCGGACCTGTAAATAACTCCAAGAATTCATTTGGTAATGGCGGAAGGTCCACTTGTTTCTTTTTTCTTATTTTTTACATATTGCCAAATATTAACTTCATAGCTTTAACGATTTTCTTACGGGAAAGAGAAAGTACCTTGATTCTTTGTTCTCTTCTTCCTCTTCTTGACTTCTACAAAGCTTTCCACTGCTAAATTTTCCGACTTCATTTTCCTCTTTTGAATCTCCCGATTCTTCAGCTGAAGAATAGTCAACTAATGGTCCATTCATTTTTCTAATTGAATTTTAACGTTTCTCTTACCATTTATGGAAGTTTCAATCGCGATCTTCAACTTTATTACAAAAAAAGTTAGACGAACACCTGCCTTTGAAAGAAATTCACGTCAAGTGTCTGTTTTATATTTTTTACTCCATATCTAGATTATTAGCGTAAAGATGAGCTCGAGCTCAGTAGAATATCTAAAGAGCGAACAGTTTTCGAATTCGCTAAAAGACCCACTTAATGCACGGTCATTACGAGTTCAACCCGCTTCACACATGATTAATGATCCAGCCGTGGAATTTTTTTGTGAGTAAATGTACCCACTATGTTCTGATTTTAAAATGTGACATATAAGTAATGACTGACTTTTTTTTCGCTTGCTAAAGATAAGCCTCACACGCTTACGGTATTAACGGCAATGTTGTTCGCCCTTGTATATTTTGCTCTATCACCAGAGGCGGATGATACGGCCACAAATATCCGAGTGTGAGTTTACTATTTTATACACATTAATATTCGAGATTATCATGGAATTCGAGGTTTATTATTATTACTACTACTCGCTTCTATAATCGACATTCCCTCACTATTAAGATGCAAAAAGAAAATTTACATCATGCTATGGAGGCAAATTTTTTAAAATCTCCATTATTTGACGGTACGTGTTTTAATTCGATACCATTATTCTCGATTAATATATAGAGGAGTTGGAGCCGCGGTTGGATTTTTCCTCGCATTTGCAATGTTACAATTTCGCGATGGACCATTTATACGTCCGCATCCCACATTTTGGCGAATTGTAATGGGAGTTGGAGTGTTATATCAATTACTGCTTGTTTTTTTATTATTTCAGGTAACATTATCTGTTATTGCTATTACCAAGCGGGTATTTACAAAATATAATTATTAATATTCACTATTTATACAAAACACGTGTAGAGCAAACGCGACGCGAGATACATATTCGCATGTATAGATCCCACCCTCGGAGTTCCATTACCAGAACGCTCATACGCTGACAACTGTGAATTGAGTTGGCAAAACATGAAAGTGCGCGCATTTTTTACGCTCCTCCTGCATGCGCCTTGTGTCAAAGAAATATAAATATGATAACATTATGTATGGTCTTTCGTATGCATCAACACTTTAATAATAAATTGTTGTAATTGATGCGTTGTTGCTCCGATTAGAACCAAATGGACGTCTTCGTGATATATCATGTGGCGGGCTGGTACGCAAAAGCAGTTGTGCTTCGTGATTATTGGTTTTGTTGGATTCTGTCGGTCATGTTTGAGGTTATGGAGTATTCGTTGCAGCATCAGTTGCCTAATTTTGCAGAGTGCTGGTGGGATCATGTGGGTTGACCATTTTTCTAATTTTTACGGTTTCGGGATTCTTTCACTAAAAAGTTTTTATATTCATCATATCTTAAAGTGGGTCCTTGACGTGCTCATTTGCAATTGGGCTGGACTTTATCTTGGAATGAAGACTTGCGAATACTTAGAAGTGAAAAGATATTCGTGGCGAGGTGTAAAAGAGATTCCATCGCTCAAAGGAAAAGTTAAACGAACAGTGCAACAATTCACCCCGCATAGTTGGACGAAATTCGAGTGGAGTGCTACGCATAATTTCAAAAATTTTTTGGCAGTCCTGGCATTATTGTTTCTTGTATCCTTTATTTATTCTTGAAAAATACGAGTTTTCTGATAAGAAATCATTACTATATAATTTGTTCTTATCAAATCATTATAACTGTATAGTTCTTGCAAGCAGAGCTCAATTCTTTCTATCTCAAGTACCTATTATGGATTCCACCTGAACATCCAATGAACGCTATACGAGCTACGCTTCTTTTCTTCTGTTCTGCTCCTGGTGTACGAGAGGCATACCAATACTTAACGGACAAGTAAACATCTATTATTCATTCCTAATTATTTACGTAGACGCACGATTAACAATACGAATCTAAATTTATCATTGCTTGACTAATTAATTTATACCAATTAAAAAGAAATTGCAAGCGTTTTGGACCTCAAGCATGGCTTACGATCGCTATGATAATGACAGAATCCGTAATAATCATTAAATTTGGTCGTGGAGAGTTCCCCAACCCGGCACCACCTCACGTTATTGTATTTTGGAGCTTGTTGACTACGGTGTTGGTTGGTTACGCAATTTATCAGTTCGCTATACCGGCATCAATCAAGAAAAAATCTGAATAGTATTTAAAAAAGCGATAGCATACATCATTATTATAATGTGCAAGTCATCTAAACTCAACAGTTGCTGGGCCACATTCCGAAATTTGTATCAAATTAAATTTTAAAATATTCAAGAAATCAAGATAATTTAGTTCATATAGCTTCACGTGCTTATCATATATTACAAAACCATGTTTTATTATTCATTTTAATCTTATTAGAACATAAACAGGAATACAATTCGTTATATAAATGCAGTTAACTAATATAATCATTACATTCATATTTGATCATAAATCGAATTCGTCTAAAGCGGGGGCAAATCACGTGAGTCAATAGTGATAGGTTAGAAAATACGAACGATGATTGGCCAGAAAATATATACAGTGTGTGATAATATGTGAATCTATAATAAATTTAATATAATATATTATTATTAACTCTCAATCTTATAATTTTAATTATATTATTACAAATTTTTATTTTATTCTTTAATATGATCTGATACAAAAAGATTAATATTATTATCATTTTAAAATGATAAGCATGATTGTGTTCATGATAATTATTTACTTTTATAACTTTAAAAGATTATATAATTGATTATTTTCTTAATAAGATAATTTATATAAGTTTTACTTTTAATAAAATTACTTTCTTAATAAAGCAAGAAGAAATAAAAATAAGATATGTGATAAAATATATGTGTTTATTAAAGAAAATATCAATTAATTACTCTTAACTCAGTAATTAATTACTTCTATCAAACTTAATTATTCTTGATTACTTCTTAACTCTTTATATATATAATATTTTCTTATTATGCTAATTATAAATTATTTTTAACATAATATTTTATCTAATTTACTTAAGAATAAGTAAAATTTTAAAAGAATAATTATAAAAAATATTAAATATATAATAATTAAAAATTAAAATTAGTGAAATATTAAAGATATTTTAAGATTAAAGTAAAAAAAAAGAAAAGTTAATAATAATTAATTAGAGAATTATTAATTTAATAAAACTATAAATTAAATGTAATATATATAACTAAATTAATAAAAGAATAAGACTAAATATAAATAATAAGATAAATTAATAATAGGATTAATAATAAATTAAATTAATTAATATAAATTTCTTATATATCTGATTTAGTAATGATTAATAATTGTATCACATATTATAATTACATCATATTACTATATCATTTTTACTGCATTATATAAATAGATAATTAATTACAGAATCTCTAGCTTTAAGAAATTTATTCTGTAAATCTTTTTAATTATTATTAATAATAATAACTGATTTTAAGTTATTAAACTTAATATATAACTTCAAATAGTCACTATTATAAAAATTTTTTAAGATTTTTCTATCTAGATTTCTAAGTTTATAAATATCTTTATTATAAATTTCATAAATATAAAATAATTCTTTTCACTTTTTATTAAATTTATTATGATACTAATATTAAATTTCTATTTATTTCATTAATATTTTTTGTTCTATTCAAAAAATTATTGATTTTTATCTCTTATTATATCATTCTTTTTATTTTGATTATTTCTCTTAAATATTATTAAGAGCTAATTCTTGTATAGTTTCTAGTTCATTAATTAATTCGCATATTTTTTTGATAAGAACTTCTTCAAAAGTAAGATTATAAAAATCTTTTAATTTGATATTTAATAATATTATTACTTATCAATTATATATTAATTGAAAGAGTTTAAATAAAGTCATATTTTATTTCATTATTCTATAAATAAATAAAACTGAAAATAGGTAATGATCTTAATCTTTCTTGTAAAATTGAACATATTTTGATAATAAAATACATAAAATTTAATTTAATCTTTTAACTAATTTATTAGTTTGAGAATGATATAAAATAGAAAATCTATGCTTGATTTAATATTTTTTTAATAATTTTTTAATTATTTTATTAATAAATATAATTTCTTTGTCACTTAATATTTTTTTTAAAAATTCATATTTTATCATTATATTCTCATAGAGAAATAAAATTATTATAATTGTAAAAGTATCTGTAATAGATCTTGTTTTAGCTTATTTAATTAGATAGTTAATAATAATTATAATATAGTAATTTTCTTTACTAATAATTAAAAGAGATTCTACTAGATTAATTCTAATTTTTTTGTAATAATTTTGATTAGGTTATTTTTCTTTTAGTTTAGATCTTTATTTTGTATTATTTATATTACAAATTAACTTTATATTACTTTTTCTTAAAAATTAATTTTATTTTAAATATACAGATGATTATTATATATTTAATATATTAGATTTAGCATATTATCATGCAAATAATTATTATGTGTATTACAATTATTAATTTAGATTATTAATATTTTTAATTATATTTATTATTAATATTTTCTTTATCAGACAATTTTCAAGAGCATAATTTTGTACAAATCTTTAGATTCAAAATTTGCGTAAAACTTCAAATCTGATAATAATTAGTAAAGAAAAAAAAATTAAAAAATCTGTGCAGATTTGTAATAAAATGTAGATTTGTGCAGATTTTTTAATTTTTTTTTAAAATTCTACACAAAACTTTGTAATATCAGTTTCAAGTAGTAGTAACAATTTCAAGTAATTGTAGAATTCATAGGTTAAACAATAATAAAAATATTTATTTTATTGTAAATTATATATATATAATAAAATATAAATTTAAAGAAAACTATATTATATAAATTCATGATTCAAGTTAGTGATCTTTTAAATAAAAAATTAGTTTTTTAAAGACTTCAAAGAAATAAATTGCAAAGAGTATTAAAGAAACTTATAAAATTATCATAATCATCATCTTCCTCATCATCATCTTCTTCAACCATATTCTTAATCCATGACTTTTAACATTTTTTCTTTGCCACTTACTTCATTTCTTTAATTTCTTTTTTCATCATCTCTACCATCATTTCTAGTATTACTAACTGATTATTTTCTATAACTCACTAAATATCTATTATATGAATGATTTTTAATGCAAATTTTAAGCAAATTCAAAGTATTACTTATCATAAATATGTGTATATGTCTTGCTACTAACCTATTTTTATATTTGATTCCTGAACTTGATAGACTGAGGAGAATGTCACAGATAACTAAAACAAATATATAGTACATCAATGGTAATACTTTTTCTTTATATTTCTTAAATATCATGTAATTGATATTTGTAAGCAATTTATTATTTTGGAAGAGATTTTTATATGCAGTTTGCATTTTCTCACTCCTCTTCCACTTAGCAAGATAAATAATAGATGTATTATTATTAATCCTTATTAATTTCTCTTTATCAAATATTAAAAAGATGATATTTTAGATAGCAAAAGCATAATCATTATGTTTATTGTGATATTTTACTTTTATCTAAAATTATTAAACAAAAATAATTAGTAAAAAATTTATAGATTTATATAATTTATGACAAACCTGATGAATATATTTCTTTATAAATATAGATATTTACACATTATAACCCAGACTATTAATATAATCTTCAGCATTTTCTGCCAAATATTTCTCTAATATTTGTTGATATTCCTTGAAGGTTGGAAAGAGGATTATAGAGATCAACTTCTTGGCTATCTCCTTGTATACTTGCTATATAGAATAATAGAAAAAAGAACTTTAGTAGATCTTGCAGATTGATTTTTGACTTTGAAAATAATTAAAGATAAGTATCTTTCAAAATATTTTGAATAGTTCATTGATAATGATTAATTTTTTAATTAATTTGATTTGTTCTTGTACTTAATCATCTAAAAATTAATAAAGATAGTATATACTATTAATTTTTTTGTTTAGAATATTTATTAAATACTTGAATTTTTCATAAATTAAAGATCTTTCATTATTTAATACTTGAGTAAGTAGAAATTAAGTTAGTAATGAAGAATATCTAATATTATTAATCTTCATATTATTACTAAATAATAAATGATTAGATGAAGCAAATTGATATGTAAAAGAATAAGATAATGAAAAAGAAGAAATCATGATAAGCTTTATAATTTCTTTATACTTGCTTTTATCACCTATTATATATAATAAAAAGAAATTAGCAAAAATATTTATTTATAATATCTCTGTAC